TGCTGCAAGTTCTTGTAGAGCTCGCGCTTCTAGTTGTTGTGTGCGGAAAGAGTCGGCGTGTAGAGATCGCGCTTCTAGTTGTTGTGCGCGGACCGGGTAGAACTCCCATCGTGATCGCCACGTAGAGTTGGCGCTGGTCGAGAATAGGGCTAGGTTGTGGTCCTTGTGGAGAAGTGCAACGGGTTGACAAGGAGGGCTCAAGGGGAGTCCGTTTCGGCAAAGAGTGCTGGTATCAGTGGGGCATAGCTGACGGCAGGCTCAACGATGGCAATCGGTGGGCAGTTGAGCGGCGACCAGTGATCGGCAAGGGAAGAGGCCAATGGCGGCTGCCTCTTGTCGTCTCCATTGGTGGCGGCGTGGCGCGCTTCTTGTAATGCGCTTTTGTTTTCTCTTTTTGGTTTATGCCTTCTATCTCGCGTCCGCTCTTCCCAATCGTTTCGCTGAGCGACACTTTATGATTGTCTTGGGAACTGCGCTCATCTGCTTTTACTGACAAAAAGTGCAAGTGGCCATAGCCCATAAGAGAGTAGTCTTGTCAACAGTCCCCTATTTCTTGACTTGCAGCCCTGTCATCTACTCTTCTTTTCTTCTCCGGAGCTCCGGTGGCAGTATCACCAAAAAAAAAAATTTCTTTCTACTTGTTTCTTTCTCCTTTTTTTATATTTTAGCGTCAACGTACTCGTGGTTGGAGCTGGTGGTTTGCAGGTTGGGTTGGTGATGGCGACCAAAAAAGGAAATGTCTCTGCTGCCGCCGCTGCTTGCAGTGGTGGAGAAGATGATTTCTCTCCAAGAATGAGCTGAGTTCTTTCATCAGAGAAGGCGGAATCTAGTTTGGGCGCTGGAGCGGAGAATGGAATGTTGTGTCCCCGAGAACCAGCGACAAGTAGAATGGTCCGACAAAGGGTTACGGCATGAGAAGAAGTTGAAGGCTCGCCGGCGAGTGGGACTTTGGCTCTTCTTGTCCTTCTATTTTTTTTTTCCAGATCTGGAACTTCTTTGGCTGTTCTTGATGGTTGACATTGTCGTCGCTGACGATGCTTGCAGTTGGTAAACCATCTTCTCAATTTGCTTTGCTTGTTCCCAGAACTCTGTTTTTTTTTTTTTGCAGTTGATGTTTTTGGGTTTCTCGTTTGGCTTCTGCGATCTCGGATACCCAAATCCCCTACCTTCTTGCGCCTCGCATCCCTCCAAGATCAAACGAACAAAATCAAAGAATCAGGCCCCACGGTGGGCGCCAATTGTTTGTACCATCTAGCTCCGGTATGAACAATGATATTTGTTGGTGTGGGGTTGACTCACGATCCGTTCGTCTGATCTCGTCGGGAGGGAAGAGACCTGTGAAAGATCCGGGGTTGCCCCCCGGATTAAGCTCCGACGATCAAGTTAGTTACGGCTTCAGGAGAGAGTTGAGAGAATAAGGTAGAGAGATAAAGTGTATAGAGATAATGGAAAGTGGAAAGTGATGAGAGGGAAGAAGTCCCCCTCTTTGGAGGGCTTCAAGCCCTTATATTCCTGTAGCGGGTATCGAGCGTTGGGCATCGCCGATTGTGTGCCCTACTACTTAGTCTGTGCACGGAGTATATTAGTAACACCCCCCAACAGTTACATTAACTACCTTATGGATACTCAATTTAAGAATGTACGTTGTAACCTTTATGGCTTTTATCCAAATGGAGTTTAGTAAGTAGAAATACTCCTCACCATGTCCTTAAGAGTTCAACAAACCATAACATCCTAAACTCTCTCTATTTGTTCCTTTATTGAGAATTTGAGGTTTAGTAATTGAGTTCAGTCTTATCTCGTATCTTCCCTCCTCTTCTTTTGTGAGTATTAGTACTCACCTAAATGGAGGAAGATAAATTCAACTAAGTGTTGAGTATGACTTTTGACAACTCAAACTTTAGTCACTTGAATTTAATGCAAAATAAGACACCTCCAAAATATAATACACTTGTACATTTTGCCTTTACACTTTATGGATTAAATTACCCCAACAGGCAGCTTACTCTGGATCCTTTTATGTTTTGGCAAAATACTGTATTATTACATCAATGCACCTCAGAGGCATCTCAGTATAATAGCCCCATAATTATTCAACGAATAGAGCGCTTAATGATCATCATACACACTGAATTGGATATATCTTTATTCGCTATTATTAAATAACATTGAGATTTTCAAGTAGAATAGAGATTGTTCCACATAAAAGCGCAAGATCAATGCCTATATATCGAGAATAATTGTCTTGAATTTACTTTAAATTCTTTAGATTCATCCTATTTAAGAGAAGAGTTAACTTTAATTTCGACATAAATATTTAAACCAAAGCAAGAAAACTGTATTGAGATAAAAGAAAACACACATCATGCCATGTAATTAAACAAGACAAGGAAATTATTCAATTTCGGGGACCCATCATAAGATACCAAATGCAACATTGATTCTTAGTCTTTGGACAGAGAAATTAACTGCGAGCGATACTCTTAATACAATGATCAAATACTGATAATAAGTTCTGTCAAACAACAGTTTATCTTTGGACCGACTGTTATCCACATGAATAATAACTTTATAATTATCACGTATTTACCATTAAGGTGCTTAATTATTTGGTCATATAGTATCGTCCTTTGGGTCGAGTACTACCCACATAAATAACCTTACACATACATCCATGTATTCTAAGTTAAATAATTTTCGCAAGTACAAGTTACTTTGGCAGCATACTGCTAAAATTAATTCAATTAAAATATTGGACAATTTTCTCAGAATCACAAAATTCTGAATAAGTGATTAATTACCTTAAGAGAGAATTACAATACTAATTTTAAATAAAGATTACTCCATCTCAAGACACAATGCATTCCATTAATACTTGTCTTTGGCAGTGCATTTTAATGATCCAACGGCCATCAACAAACTTAAAAATATTGACGACAAGTCCTGTCAAATAATAGTTAATCTTTGAACCGACTACTATTCACATGGAAAATTACTTGATAGTCATCACATATTTATTACTAGATGTGTATCGGTGTTTGGCCAAATAATGTTTTTCTTTGGGTGGAACATTATCCGCATAAATCATCACACACTATACATCAATGTATTTTAACTTTAAATACTGGACTGATCACTTTGTGTTATATATAATAAATGTATATACAGCAAACAACAATCGGTGATATAATTAATTAATCCCTTTGTATTTCCGTAAATAGAAATCCTTAATGATTAATTAATTATTTTAAATTTCCCTTATATAGAGGAATCAATTAACTAATTCTGTAACCATAAGTGGAAAACAACAAAACAGTATTATACTTTTATGTCCTTCCCCGTAATACCGTAACCGAAAGAATTGAAGCAGCAGGGAAGAAAAAAACTAAAAACTCCAAAGTCGGAAGATAAAACCAAATGAGAACAATCATTAATTAACATGAAAGTATGAAACCCATCCTTATTCCATAAAACCACGGATAATTCTCCTGTGAAATCTTCCTTCTCATAACAGAAGTCATCTTCTTCATAACAAGAAAGAAAAAGCTTTCCGTAAAATAAAAAAAGAGGAGGATGGCTAATTGTCACCCTAATATTTTATAATCGCCATAATTTAAAAACAAAAGTGACATTTTTACCCTTTTAAATGTTATGGTTTATATTCTTTGAATCGCCCTGCTTTCACTCTCGTCTATTACCAAGATAGAGTTAGCACTCAACAGTTTCACCATTCTTTCTGCTACCCACCAAAATAAATCCCATGAATTGGACAATCGACATCTGGTAAAGCCTACGAGTCAAACAACACTCCTAATGATTAAACAATCAGCAATCTGGGTAAGTCCAGAGCACCCAGGAAAAGACGAGACATGAGAATTTAATGGCTAGAGAAGTGGTGAGGAACTAATTATCCAAGAATGGCGGCTCATTGGTTGTTAAGCCTGAAGCTTCACCAGCGGTGAATCCTGTGGGCGAATTGAAAGAGAAATGACGTGGTGGCGGAGTGGGGATCGATGGCGGGCTCGCGATTGATTAACGTTTCAGAACCCTAATCCTGTTAATTCCTGTGCTCGACTTTATAATTGAATTGTGCACGGATGAAAATTGAAACAATTGCGGGAAGGAGTGCCGGTGGTGAAGTGGGGGGAATTGTGTAGTTGACGGTGGGGGAGATGAATGGCGACAAATTACAAAAGGATGGCGGCGGAGGGTATTTGGAGAGGAGGTGGTAGACGGTATTGGAGGAATAGAGATTCTAGGATTTGTTTATTTATTATTTGGTTTGATTAACGAAAGGATAATTTAGTAATTCTACATTATTATAAAGTTAGGACGATAATAGTAAAACTAGGGCGACGTTTAGCCTTCCAGGGAAGGAAACCCTTGAACTAATGATTATTAAAATAATAACAACCATTATTATTTAACCAAAGTATTATTAATTAAGAAAAGCTTTCCGAGAACCATATGGAAACATTAAATTATTATATTAATTTAAACTTCCCCTCCTCGTAATTGTTTCCACTGAACAGTTAAATATGGATCAATTAAACTTCAATTAATCCTTCTGTAACATAAGGGAAGAATGAAAATGAAAACCTCCCTGGATTCATAATGCTTTATTAAAAGGAATAATCAGCTACATTATTATCCAATAATGAACTGGAAATAAAGCTTCTGTAACCGAAAACCAATAATTAATCCCACTCAGGTGGCGGAGCTGTGTTTGTTGAATGGGGGCTACAATTAGGGGTGGGAATCCGGTCCCGGTTTTCCGGTCAAATCGGAAACCAGCCAGTTTAAACCGTCCCGGTTGTAACCGAAAACCGGATTGCATCCAATCTGATCCCGTCTCCGGTTTGTCTGTTTGCCAACCCGGTCCAATCCGGTTAAAACCGGAAAACCGGATTAACTTAAAAATAAACTTCTCAAGCCCAGCCCACTACCACAACCCAATCCCTCAGGCCCACACTATAACCTCGTTCAGCCCAAAGCAACATAGCCCACAAGAGTCAAGACCCACTCAACCCTAAACCTACCCCTCCTGCTCTCACCCACCAGTGGCCACCACATGCAATAGCTAGCAGCCGCTCACTCACTCCTCCCCCTCTAATCTCCCTCGACGAAACCCACAACCTCAGGCAATCTCCCTCCCCCGACTCTCGTCGGCCTCCGACCAGCCAAGAACACAGACACTCTCCATCACTCCTCCTCTCTAATCTCCCTTGCCGAAAACCCACCCAGGAGACTGGAGTCGCCGCAGCCCACAATTGCCCACCACCTCCTCCTTCCCGACCATGACCACCACCGCCGTCGACCTCACCATCCAATCCTTCTCCTCCACCATCCCGTCCATCCTCCTGAAACACCCTCCATCACTCCTCTCCATTTCGCCCCATCCCCAGCTAGGGCCGCCGCCGCCGCAATCTCCTCCGCCATCAGCTCGTGCATGGAGGAAGAGGAGGCGCCGACCAAGAGGAGGCGCCGCCGCCGCAATCTCTTTCCCTATCTTCTCCTCTCTGCATGCCAAGGAAGATCTGGACGACGGAGACGGCGATGCTCACGACGGAGGCCGAAGACAGATCGACATACCAAGTGGGCAACTTGCTTGCCTCATCAAAGAGAAGAAGAGGCAGATGGAAGAAACAAGAAAGAGAAAGAAGAACAGAGAGGAGAAGAAGTAGGTGGAAGAAAGATCGGGAAAGAAATAGGGACGGTTCAGAAGTGGAAGAGGCAGAGACGACCCCTCTTCTCAATTTCATTGTTTTTAATTTTTAATTTTTAATTTTTTTCAAACGTCAACGTTTTGGAATGGATGAATGCCAATCTGGTTTCCGATTTAAAACCGGATTGAACCCAGTCCGGTCACGGTTGAAACCGGATGCCATCCAATCCCGTCTCCAGTTATGGTATTTGTCAAAACGGTCTTAAAAAACCGGATCAATCCGGTCCGGTTTTGACCGCACCGGATCGTTTCCCACCCCTAGCTACAATATGTAGCCAGACGTTATATATTTAGAGAAAGATGTGCGAGTAGCACAATTGGCAGATGCGTAGCCTCCTCTCAACGCAGATCGTGTTTCGTTTGAATCCCTGCAGAGGTATTTTTAATATATTTCATTTCACACAGGCACTAATTAATAATTATTATATTAGTAAAAAAAAAATTTACTTGGCTCTTTAATGGACACGTTCCAAGCTTATAGTGAAAGTACACCTTTCAATAAAGGACACATTAAGTATTTCTTTTCTGTTTGGCAATTGAATTCCTTACCTGTTCAATTATCCTTTGCAGTTTGGCATTGGTTTCTATCCTTTTTTATATATAATTTTTTCGATGCACGGTTCTATTGGAAAAAGAAAACCCGCAACAGAGTCATTCCCTATGCATCAAGACTACTTTCACTGCACATCCAGACTCATAAACACTGTTTCAACTCGGATGGGTCTTCAGTGTGGGCTGGTGCACGGAGGATCCTGGTTGGATTTAGGCGAGATTTGGTTGCTCAGTTGTATTTGGACTATTATTTGCCTTCTGGTTAGGCTCCCTTTCCGTTGAGGGTTACTATTTGCCGCCCATGTAATTACTATTTGCCGCCCGTAAATTACACTAAAAAGACAATTTTGCCCTCCAAAATTTTCTTTATATTCTACTCTCTGGTTTGGTTTTTGAAACTACCTACACACCACCCGACCACCAACCCCCCACAATCACCATAGCCAGCAAGAGTCACGGCCACCGGACGGCAGCCTAAGTCGCCCACCATCGGACCAACGTCAGCATAATTCGCCGGCCACTGGACGACAGCCGTACCACATCGTCGGACCAGTGAATCAGGTAAACCCCCGTGCACTGACCTCCTGTATTTTCCCCGTCCGCTCGCCGCAGGCGGATGGGGCCCGACGCCGGCGAGCAGACGGGGATAGCGGCGAGCGGACGGCAATAGCCGGCAATGTTTATTTTTATTATTTTTTTAAATTTGATACATATTATCAATTGTAGAGCTAATAATTTACAGACAATTTATTGCTTTTATTTTAATTTTACATAGTTAAATTCGTATGTAGGTTGAATTAAGCGATTGTATTTTTTTGTAGCGCTAATTAGTTTATTCTATGCCATAGTTACTAAGAGGAAGCATGATTCTTCTTTCATTATTGGGTTAATATTTTCGTATGACCTGAACTTTGATCAAAATAAACATCCTGGCCAATCTTTTCGATCTATAACATCCTGGCCCGAACTATACACCAAAATAAACAATTTGGCCAAACCTGATGTTTGACCGTTAACTTGGACGGTCAAACGCGTTGACCGTTAGTCAACGCGCCATGTCACTGCCAAGTCAGCATAAAATATTTAAAATAATTCACAATTTCCACACATTCTCTAATTTTAAATTATTATAAATTAAAAAAAATCATCTAATACCTTAGTTAAACCAAAATTAAAAACGAAAAAAGTTAAATATTTATCAAATCTTCTGACTTGGCAGTGACGTGGCGCGTTGACCGTTAGTCAACGCGTTTGACCGTCCAAGTTAACGGTCAAACATCGAGTTTGGCCAAATTGTTTATTTTGGTGTATAGTTCGGGCCAGGATGTTATAGATCGAAAAGATTGGCCAGGATGTTTATTTTGGTCAAAGTTCAGGTCATACGAAAATATTAACCCTTCATTATTTGAGCTATGAGATAATGTGATCACCTGTTGTATTGTAGGCTCATGTTCTGCTGCACTCTGTACACTCTACTCAAAATAGCTGCAGGTCTTCCTGTCAAAAGGTTCAGGATCAGGATAAAAACTTTGATGCTATCAAAAGGAAATACAGGAACTGTTTGTACAGAAACCAAAATCCTCGACCATTAGAAACTAATCAAACTCGAATTCTCATCACCTTTGTCTATTAACAGTAACATAAATGTTTATTATGATTCTCAACACATAACAAAAAGAATGGAAGAAGAAATTGGAGCATAAAGGGGAGAGTACTTGGACTTTATTGTTACCGACAACCAATTCCAGCTCCCTAGGCACGGGACGGAACGTTATTCCGCAGCATTGAAGTATAACCTAGTATGGCACATTGTTAGAAAAGCAGTCAAAACCAGCTAAAAAGCAAAATGAAGCGAAACAAAATGACATATTTCACTAAGGTTTCTCAATTGTCATATGGGTGGAATGTAGCATATCAATAAGCTAATATTGCTCATAGTAGACGAAACCCCATTTCAATATCAAAATCCCACATTCTGCTACATTTAACTGTGTTATGTGGTCGTTTGGGAATGAACCTACCAAAAGTAGACCTGTCTTCTTCAATATACAAAAAGCAAAGGATCGTGCCCAAGAAAAGACACGGGAAACATGACAATGCTCAGGCTTGAAGATTATCCAAGAAAATAATTCACCTGCCAATCCCTGGATATGCAACCGACTTCGTTAAGATGGTCAAGCATATTAGACGCAGTGATTACTGGACATTATCTAAACATGGAACCGGAGATACTACCTATCTATGATGCATAGTCACTTGTGTTCCTCAGAGAATGTTCTCTCCGTAAGAGTGTGGTATAAGATCCAGCAGAACCTTCTCCCAACAACTCTCATACAAGCTAATCAAGTTTTAATCCACAACTAAAGTTTACCCAGCAACAGGAAAGATTTAGATAGAGAGATAGCCACAGCTAGAGTCTACCCTTAAGCCTTGAAATACTCTTTAAGCAGCAGCTTGGGCTGCAGCCGCCCTCTTCCTGGCTTCCTTGATGATTGTCAGCTTGATTCCATTGCCCTTGGGAAGGGACACCCAAGGCTTGGTTCCCTTGCCGATCGTAAACACATTCCCCAAGCGAGTAGCAAACTCATGTCCCATCGAGTCCTGGATATGCACGGTTTCGAAGCTACCCTTATGTTTCTCACGGTTCTTGATGATGCCCACACGCCCTCTGTTCCTTCCTCCGGTGACCATGACGACGTTGCCAACATCAAATTTGATGAAATCCACGATCTTGCTGCTCTCCAGATCGAGCTTGATGGTGCCGTTCGGCTTGATGAGCGGATCAGGGTAGCGGACGGTTCGCCCATCAAAGGTGTTCAGGTAGGGGATTCCTTTCTGTCCAAACTGAATAGTTCTGACCTTGTAGAGCTTGAACTTTGACTCCTCGTCCCGGATGGAGTGAAGACAGAAGCAACCGGAAGTTCTCATTGGTCTTGGGGATCGAAACAACATCCATATAACCAGCAGGGAAAGTCTTGTCAGTCCGAACTTTGTGATCCACCATAACATGAAGCTGCATCAGAATAGCCATCACCTCACTGCCAGTAAGTGCATACTTCATACGATTTCGGAGAATCAGAACCAGCGGCAGGCACTCCCTCGACTTGTGAGGTCCAGACGACGGCTTCGGAGCAAAAGAGCCGCCAAGCTTGTCGAGCATCCAATTGTTGGGAGCATTGAGCCTCTTCAAATGCTTCTTCAATCCTCGAGCCACGATGGAAGTTCGACCAGACGGCGGCGGCTGGCGAAGATTTAGTGTATGGGGTTTTGCTTTCTGATTTCCCCGCTGCGCTCGAGATCAGCCTCCGCGGATTTCGCCTCCGGTCACCTGACTCAACTCGTTCTAAGCTGCGGAATCTCGGCCCGGTGAACTCGGCAGCAGACAGTGTCTTCCTCCGTTGAGCAGCAAAATTCAGTCCTCTTCCCAAAATTGTCCTCTAAAAAATTAATCTGCTGCCGTGCTGCGGGAAGGAGAAAGGAAAACGTAGAATAGGAAGTTAATGCGAAAAGGACACGGGAAGGAGATTTCAGCCAAAACAAAAAAAGTAGTGGGACTCGACGGTTTTTACCACTCCATTAGGAGGGGTTTCTAAATTAATCCCGCCTAAACACCCTGCCACATCAGCCTAGCCTCCTAAAATCACTCTACGGGCAGGAAATTTTGAATTGGTGGTGCAGTTTTACTTTTCAGCTATAAATGATACGGTTGATAGCAACTCCCAAAGAGACTATTACCGAGAGTAATTATTTCTCAATAACTATTACGGAGAGGAATTATTATAATAACAAAACTCGAAAAAGAAACTTGTCGTTTCCTCAATCGGCAAAGAGCTTAATGCTCCCTTTCCCTAACCGTAAGATAAATACTATAATAATTATAATAACCACTACTTAATTATTATTTTCCATAACGTACACCAAAGCTCACGGCAAAGAAATAACCAACAAACTTACGGTAAGGAGAGGGGGCGGAGGGAAAGGCATATGATCCCACTAGAATCCTCACCCCACACGAAGGATTACGATCTTATATTAAGGAATTTAACGCACTCAATTTCCCATAAACAGGAAGCTATACAATCAGGGAATTAATCTCAAATGGAACATGAAATCAGTCACAAGATACCATCACAATTGAATTAGAGCTTTATATTCCCAGTCGTAATGGGCTAATGGCGACCGGAAAATAAAATTTGCCAAACATCTTCACTCAATTGTCCTAATGAATAACCAAACGTCAGTTGACCGAAAAACCTGGTTGCCCATTTGACAATCTAGATTCAAGATTTTCCATTCCCAGAATAATAATAATAATAATAATAATAACATGCATGAGTCCGAGCATTTGGGCCTGTGGGATATTGGTTTGAAATTTGGATTGGACGAAGCATGGACACAAAAGCAATTGGATCCAGACCCATAATGAAATTATTGACTACTCAACTTAATCCAATTAAAATAACCAAATATGATCTGCCAATAAATCATGCACCGAACATGAACATGCTAAAGATATCCACAAAAGAACGAAACCTAGAAGGAGACCAAAATCATACATATAACATATATGATACTAAAACCCCAATAATCTAATGGCTCTGATACCACTTTATGGAATTAAACTTTAGTCTATATAATTTCCTGGAATCTCATCTTGCTAGATTATCAAAGCCGAATAGAAATACCTTGACTCGTATTGTTGATTGTCAGAAGTTGGATGCGGAAACGGTGACGATCAATCTCCGGACGATGCCTCTTAGTGCAAGACCCAGGAGGTTACGCAGTTTTCCTCAACCAAGTCACCTCAGTTCCTCTACGGGAGAGCTCTCATCTTCCTGATGGGGAGAAGATGAGATTGTTTTTAGTCTTGGTGTCTTGGGGAGCACAACCTTTAGCACCTTTGTATACAAGTTTCACATGAGCTCCCATAAAACTCAAGGTGAACAAGTATTGGGTTTCCACCAATTTAGGTCCATATCAATGCAAGAAGTCTTTAGGCTCGTAATTAGATCACTTTCAGTTAGCCCACATAAGCAAATAACTCATATAATTGTCAAAATATGTGGCACATATCATTATAGGAAATAGAATTTCCTAACACGGCTGGCCTACTATTCTGGATGCAGAATAGACCAGTCCTCAAGAAAACATCCATCAAACAAGGTACCATGGTTACTAGACATCATCAGTCTTCTTATGTTACACAGAAGAACAAACACTCATGTCAAAGCTAAATTGACTTCAGATACATCTATACTGCATATACATACGTATACACCACATGCCATTCAAGTCTAAGACTCAGAGGGAGCGGTCACCTGTTGATTCGACATCCACAGAATCCATCTTCTCCCTAAACGAGTAAGAGTGAAGCTGCCTGGTAAAACTGGTCGTAGTGTCCAAGAAGTAGAGGGTGAAACACATCATCCAGCAACAAACAAACATTGGTATGGGACCAAAGATCCATAGAAATAGAGGGAACGACAGGTAAAACGCTCGCAATCCAAGGGACCAGAAGAAGCTTCCCCTGTTCAAGTTTCTGGCCACATACTCCACAGCGTCCTTACTGCCAGTCGAGGATGGCACGGTGGCCAGGAAGCTGACGTGTGCATAGTATCGAATCGATTGCACGTTGCAGAGAAATGCGACGAGGAAGCACAGCAGGATGGAGAAGTACTTGACTGATGAAACGAAGGAAGTCTTGTTGCCGTACACCAGCTTTGATACAGAGTTGGTTGCACTCGATGTGCTGCTCACGAAAACACTGATCAGAGAACTGAGAGTGATTGCTGTGGTTGCTAGAAGAGTCGATGCCATTATGTTGTTGCGTAGGGTTTGGACTGCTAGAACACCATTCTTCAGGGGATCCTGAAATTGGGGAAAGCAGGAGGGTGCATGGAAGGGTGGAACTAAATCAAGAACATGAAGCAGTTTGAAAAATTCATTGATGGCTTAGATGATTGATTCGCTTTCTTCAGTGAAACTAAGAAATCGACTTCCTACCAAGGACTAAAGTTCCCCCCTTTCATTAGACCCGAGAAATTGATTACTCCCACTTCCATTTACAGCTGGATCAATTCCATTAGCATCAATCAAAAGGAAATTGATGACAGTTGATGGGGGAATTGGCCAATACCGAAACAGGGTTTTCTCTGAAACTTACGGAACCAACCAAATCGGCCTCAATTATAGCAAAAATTAAGTTCTGCGTTGAGAATTTTAGAGACATCGATAGAGACTAATTGCTTCCACAACATAGAAAACCTCCATAGATGAGAGAGAGAAGCTTACAGTCATCAAGGCGTGAACCCACTGGTGGCGAGATTGAGCGTTGATGCCGATGACAGTGCGTGTTGGATGACGAAGGATCGTGAAGAGAAGCCAAGCGTGATAGAGAAGCATCAACAGTACTCCCAGAGGCACCAACACGTAATCCAGATGCGATTCCTCCATTCCTTCTTATTTATCCCTTCTACGAGTACCTAATTAGCTCCGGCGAGCACGACGCAGCTACCGTTTGATGGTTTGGGGATCCGGGCGGTCCAGTTATAGGCACGGCAGTAGTTGAAGAGAGTGGTGAAGCGGAAACATGCGCGACAGCAAAAGATTAGTCACCGGCGCTGGACTTCGTACCACTGAAATTAGTTTGAAACAGAAAAGATCACTGAAATTTATATATGTTTTCTTTTACTGTTAAGTCTAAACCTCAAACCTGTTTATACTACTATGCGGATTTGACAAGTGGAATGATTTAATTAATTGATGGAACAATTCATTTATTCTAGTTAATTTGTGGAATCGTACAAATGTTATTAAGGGGTCATTTAGATTAAGAAAATTGTTTTTGGCTAATTATTGAGGGATTTTGGCCCAAATCTCACTTGAAAAACCAGAGATTTATATCAATAATTTGGTCCAAATAATATGTTTGTTTGCACATCACAAATTTGGGCCCAAATTATTTAAAGTCCATTTTGCCCCTTCCCCTTCTCCTTCTCCCTCGTTCGGTACGTTCCTCTCTTTGTTGCCCCAGACAAGCAGACAACGTCGTCTTTGACCCCCCAAAATCATGCTCACAATTTCGTCATCGGCATTTGTCAGTCCATTTAAACCCAGCGGCCAAAAGCCCAAGACAACGATGGACGAGGGCAATCGGTTCACTATTTTCGTCTTCTGCATCACACCTCGGCTCCGGCCTCTCCCCTTCATCTTCTTTGCTGACCCGGAAAAAAATTCGTTGGACAAAGAAGGGAGGATGCAACACAAGGTCAATCGTCGTTGTCCATCCATTCATATCTAGCGGCAATTGTGCACTTATGGCATGCAAGTGATAAAAGTCCTAGGATGTGCTTCTACAAGGTCTTCTAATGCATAACTACTCACACCATACCATCTATGCTCGAATGGGAATAGTAAAGACTTTTAGGGACTTTTATTTGAGTAAATCAATCAAAGTAAGATAAAACAAGAAGAGTAAAGTTGTTTAGGGGGTTTTAAAGTTATATAGATGCATAAAAGTAAGGATAAGTTATTGAACATGAAAGCATCGTCAAGTACTATCACATATACCAATACTCATTCATATCATGCATCAATGGCTCATCTATAGCATAACTATATCTTTATACTAAGACCATCCTATCCGACCTTTTGCCACATGCAATAAGAACTTGACTAGCTAATGCGTGCTTTCACTTCATGCCATCACCTAATCAATGAAGAATAGAGAATTGAGGATATCACATGATTAAGTGTAAGCCTCTTGATCCATAATCGTCGATGATCTAACAATCAAGCATTAATACTACTAGAGGTATGATAGAACCTGGGATTAGGATTCTATCGGGTCTGGTCGTGGGATTGGGATTTAGGGATTAAAGAACAGAATTAGGGATGTGAGAAGAGAAGGATAGAGAATCAGCCTAGGCCTTTAGAGGGATTGAGATCTAGAATTTGGAGGATTGGGAAATTAGGGTTTAGAAGAGTTTTTTTAATATTCTTCTTGACGGCCCCTGAATAAAATGCTAAGTACATATTTATAACAAAAGACTCGAAAAACCTAATAGACTATCCTAATATGACTCAATGACTACTACCATATCTAATAATATCCTAATTATAGTAATAATTATTATTATGATAAATCCCAAGAATTGGGTTTCCATCATCCCCTCCCCCTTGAGACCAACCTTGCCCTCAAGGTTGACCGACTCGACCCATTTCTTCAAATTGCCCGCGCAATCCGCGCTTTGTCTCCTCCACTCCTTGCGCTTTTTTTTTCTTCCAATCATGCTCTAACTCTTCACTTAGACTTCTTGCATTGACTGTCATGTGCTGGTCCAACTCTTCGAACTTCACTTCCGTGGGCCCACTATTCGCCTCCTTGAAAGATTCAAACTTCAATAGCTCCTCCGTCATTGATATGAGTCCATCAAGAACCTCGAACTCCATGTTAGCATCCCATGGTGATCCAAACCTCTCATGCATTCAAAACTCTGGACTAGAGTTTATCTTCCTTGGGGATAGCCTATCAGATTGCTTAGTGGCTTCTTCAATTGCTAATGGCCCATGCTTTCTTGAGAATCCACCATCTAAGCCCACAAATGCATCTCCCTTCTCATTCAAGCCCACACCATATAAAAGAGATTCAACTAGACAACCCAATTGAAGCCCAAACCCTTTTTTATGAAGCTTCGCATCATCTCCTTGACACAGGTTAGGCTCGTCCTTCTTCGGCCCACCCCCGAAACCATAGTCAGCCCACTTGCCTCCATGCCTTGGCCCATTTTCCTGAGTTTCTCGGCCCAAAGAGAGACCAACTATCCCTTTCTCGGAGGCTAGCCCATCACAAAGATTTGTTTTGCTACCTTCAACAGGCCAGCCTGTTCCCTGCATCTCTGGCCCGGCAGGCCTTGCGGCCCGATTCTCACCGCGGCCTACAACCTCTGGCCGCTACTTGACGCGTCCTAGGGTTGCGAGAGGATTGGCGCAGTCCTCCTTCTCCACGACCGCGAGCAGCTCCTTAGTCCCCTCCTCCGCCATTGTTCCTCCCCCCGCGGCGGCGGCGCCACGGGCGGCTCCAGCCTCTCAAAACGCGGCTCCCGCGGACCCTTCATCTCGATTTCTATCGACCTCTCCTTCGGCGGCGAGCTAATCCTCCACTGACAGGAAGGTCCACATGAATCCATCATCTTGCCCTTCGTCGTCACCAAGGAAGCGACCGTTGAAATCATCTTTAATCGCTTGCCAAAACCCATCGCGTCGGTCGTTTTCTCCATCTCTGGCGCTGCTTCCTTCTTCGACAGCTAGTTATCCTCCTAGTGATTAAAAGGCGAGCCAGATCCTGCCATTTTCTTCAGCCCCGACTTCACCTCCTCCTCGGAATCGTCCTTTTGTGGTGGGAAACCTCCTGTCCGACGATCCGGAGGCCAACCCGACATCTCCATCATCTTCCTCTCCTCGCCATTTTTCGGTGCAGCCGACGCCGCCAGCAGCCTTATGCCCGTCCCTGGCTCCTCGATCCACGGCTTCGCCCGTCTGGCCTTCGTCGCCGCTACTGGAGCTGCTCGTGGCGCCTCTTCTCCCATCGCGACCGGCGACCGGATTACTCTGCTGGGTTCTTTAACAGCACGAGAAGAGGAAAAGTCGACGCCCTTCTCCTTCACCTCCTCCTTTGGCACTAGCATCCATGGCGGTGCGGCGGCAGCCCTGGTCGCCAGTGGGTTTGTCTCGGACGATGATATCACAACAGTAGTTTCCACCCTGAGGTCGTTGTCTCGATTTCTGTCGACCTCTCCTTCGGCGGCGAGCTAATCCTCCACTAACAGGAAGGTCCAATTGAATCCATCATCTCGCCTTTCGTCACCACCAAGGAAGCCACCACTGAAATCATCTTCAATCGCTCGCCAAAACCCGTCGCGTCGGTCGTTTTCTCCATCTCCGGCGCTGCTTCCTTCTTCGGCAGCCAGTGATCCTCCCAGTGATTAAAAGGCGAGCCAAATCCCGCTATTTTCTTCAGCCACGACTTCACCTCCTCCTCATAATCGTCCTTTCGTGGCGGGAAACCTCCTGTCCGACGATCCGGAGGCCAACCAGACATCTCCATCATCTTCCTCTCCTCGCCATTTGTTGGTGCAGCCGACGCCGCCAGCAGCCTTATTCTCGTTTCTGGCTCGTCGTTCCCCGGCTCTGCCCGTTTGGCCTTCGTCGCCGCGACTGGAGCTGCCCGCGACGCCTCTTCTCCCATCGCGATTGGTGACCGTATTCCTCCACTGGGTTCTCGGATAGCACGAGAAGAGGAAAAGTCACCGCCCTTCTCCTTCACCTCCTCCTTTGGCTCTAGCGTCCATGGCGGTGCGGCGGCAGCCCTGGTCGCCGGTGGGTTTGTCTTGGACGATGATATCACAGTAGTCGTTTCCACCCCGAGGTCGTTGTCTATCAATGGCAGCAGTTCAGCTAGCTTTTCTGCCCGATTCTCCAGCTCTGCAATGAGAGCAGCAGTTGTGGAGATATGTGTCATCTGCATAGACACGAGCGCAGTTGGGATGATGGTAACGACCGATTTGGATCGCTGCGGTTTTGGCGATGGTTCATCTTTAGTGTTGAATGGCGAGGCTGAGTCGAGTATTATGGTGGGCGTCCGAGGTTGATGCTCGTCTTCGATCTCAGCATATGGACCTTCATCTTCAAGAGCAGGTTGGGTAGGTACGGCGGTGATTTTTGCTACCGGTGGTGATGAAGCCGCATCGATGATGGTTGGTTGAGGATCCAATTGAGAAGCTGCGTCGATTGAACTGATTTCCACGGAGGCAGGAGCAAATTCCACAATAGCAGGAGCGTCTTCAATGGTGGCTGATGCTGATGAATCCTTCGATGTCGACTCTGGCTGGTTGTGGGTCGCGCGATGGCGGGCCGCGCAGAGCTCGAGCTTGGCTAGAAGTTCTTCCAGGCCTGCCATCATATTTTTGTCGTGATCTTTCCTGTTAGCTACATATTTTGCTAGGCTGGCTTCAAGGGCTTCAATCCCTTGATAGAAGTTATGATAACAATTCCTTGGTGATAGTTGTGATGAAGTCAGATTCGTGACCATGGCTCTGATATCAAATGATAGAACCTGGGATTATGATTCTATCCGGTCTGGTCGTGGGATTGGGATTTAGGGATTAAAGAACATAATTAGGGATGTGAGAAGAGAAGGATAGAGAATCGGCCTAGGCCTTTAGAGGGATTGAGATCTAGAATTGAGAGGATTGGGAGATTAGGGTTTAGGAGAGTTTTCTTAATATTCTTCTTGACTGCCTCTGAATAAAACGCTAAGTACATATTTATAACGAAAGACTCGAAAAACCTAATAGACTATCCTAATATGACTCAATGACTACTACCATATCTAATAATGTCCTAATTATAGTAATAATAATTATTATGATAAACCCAAGAATTGGGTTTCCATCAAGGTATAGATTGTTGATCATTCCCTCTATACTCGTGTAGCATAAATGTGGTATCACTAGATGGTAATTTCTTAACAACCTAGATTATACTAAGCACTATGCATATAGTAGCATATTATAGAGTCATAAGTATTGATGATAAGAAAGCATTCATACTAGATAAATAACAATGATCATCACATAAGCATCAAAACAAAAGCATCTATGCATACATCATAAGCATCGAAATTCATAACCATAAACACAATCATCATATGAAATCATAGCATAAATACATACAAAGATAAACGAGTTCACATTCTCACAATTTTGAACTAGTTGTACATAGAAGAGAAGGATATGAATGTCAATGGGGCAGGTCTGGGTAGGGTATCTCGATACCCATACCCGTCTCGTGGCAGGTCGAGTCCAGGTAGGGTAATTTATCATGGGGCGCGGGTCGGGGCAGATCAACCCAATGGATATGTAATTTATATGGAAAATGTTAGAAATATTCATAATTTCATTATAAGACCAAAAAACAAACCATAATATGATAAATGTAGTTAAGTTAATAGAGAAATTGAGATTTTCACACACAACTTTATTAAATCTAAAATATGTTGTAATAAAAGGAAAACTCTCAGTAATTTGTCTGAGATTACATGTAATTTAGTAAAAATGGGTCGAGAACATGGCAAGTCAGGTCAATGATAATACCCATATCCACCCCACCCCGCCTACGGGGCGGGTCGGACCTGCCCAAAACAAGCCAAACAGGTCGGGTAAAATGGGTCAGGTTGAAATTGCCATCCCTAGAGAGTACCACCATCTTTGATGAAGGCATCTCATTAGTTGCAACCTCTCCTACAAGTAATAAGCTCCCACTCGAGCATAATATCTGTAAAAGTTTTGAATGGAATTGTGCAGCCAACAGAACTAATGAGTCTAGCTCCCTACTTATAGTGACAGAACTCGGCCAAAACCTTCCTAAATCTACTAGGGCACTGTTTCTTTGACTTGGGGCCAAAGCATGGCCTTAAGATCTCTTGTTTGGGCTTGGGCCTTTGATAAGCGGTGGGCGGCGATTACATCCGGCGTTGGTTTTCATCATGGGCTGGACTAATTGGCTCGCAAACAACCTCTTCTGAAGATTTCATCATGATTTATCCAGGTTTGCTTAGGCGGTAGTTGGACTCAACGATGTATCGCCTCTAGTTCTTGCTTCTGTTTAGGCTGAGTCTTCCTTTGGGCTCTACTCGTGGTTACTAGTAGGCTTCTCCGTCATTGGACCTCATCTTTAATATGAAAGATTCATATTCTTATATTTATAGCTCTTTTGATCCTACATAGTCATCCAATGTTTGAACCAAATCCTCTTAGGTTGCTTTGTACCTTGAAAATCATAAAAAACATACCAATAATGGATCAAATAAAAAACCAAGGTTCGAGAAGGTGCTATGTGTAAGCAAGGCATTAAGACCTTGCCTAAGCGTGCCTAAGTGTAGCCTAAGCGTGCCTAGGCGTTGGAAGAAGAATAGCTATTTGCATTGAATAATGAATGATATAATAATTTACAATGCTTCCCAACTTTAGTTAAAATGATAAATAACTTACTTAACACTTAACGATATGAAAATAACTCAACAATTCATAGAATCGTAGCTCAATAGCTCACGAAGTGCTTGATCTATTAGAATTATCGGCATAGAAAATATATTTCATAGTTGATGTCGATTTCCTTCTTTAAAATTGACTGCCTAGCTCCATCTAATGATGTCCAGGAGTAAATAAAAAAATTTATGTCTAGGAGTCACTTATGTGTCACCTTACTCCGTTATTAGGAGCGGAACCCCTAGGCAAGGTCATACAATGAATCGTCGATGGCCTGTACCAAAATTGAGATGTGGCCCAAATTAATTTTTAACTATAATAAAATAATAGGATTATATCATACTTATTTGAAATTTAATAACTTTCTAAGTGGTTAACTAAAAGATCTAAGTGAATGCCCCTAATAATCGAAGGCCCTCTGTCAGAAGGCCGCTTGGCACACTCTCTAGGCCGATCCTACCCCTAGGCGGGGCGCTTTGACGTTCCTAAGCGTAAGGTTAAGGGCACCTTTTTGAACCATGACAAAACACAATCTAAGTCTATTAAATTCCATTTGATCAAAACTTATGATTTAGGTATGAAATACAAGAGAAAATACTAAAAATGCATTGATAGAAGAGGAAATGTATCAAATGTGGGAGTGATAAACACTATAGATAGAGTGTCATCGGGCAAAAAACTTGAAATGACTATGGACGAGAGAAATCCATTCTTAGAGACCTGACATACCCAGAAGGAAGAATTGAGGCAAAGAACCCAAACCCAGGACTACGATTTCGAAGGAGGCATCAATCACCACCTCAATTTCGAGCTCCCCTTATTTCCCCTAAGTTCTAGGGTTGAGGGGAGGCATCAATCTGTTCTTCTTTCTGAGTAACATGAGTTCAACGAGAGTAGAGAAGGAGAAGGAACTCCTCACTTTGATAGAAACTTTGCTAGCAAGAATCATCGTCTTCGCTTGGAAGAAGGAGGAGCTCCTTATTCAGAATCGTCGTCCAGCCAAAACAACTCCCTGCTCGTTTCTTTTATGCATATGAAGAGCAGAGGAGAGAAGAGATGGATGAGTGGTGGGGAAGCGAACATAAGAGGAGAGTAAGTAGATCAGAAAGGCAAATAAAAAATCAGTAGAGATGAGAAGCATCGTTGGAAGGGCCATAGATTCTAGTAAGGGGAGATAAGAAAGAAAAATGGCGTCAGTGGCAATAAACTGGGTAGGAGGGATATTGATTGGAATAATAAAAAGGCAAAATACACTTGTATGGCCATAACTTTCACGTTGTGAGAAATATAGCCATAACTATTCGAAAACCAAAAATAGCCCAAAAAATTGAGGGTAGTGTGACAAATCTAGCCAAATCCGTTAGACACTTTAACGGTGTTAGAAACTCCGTTAGTTAGATTAACGTTAGACTGACTAGGATGCCAAATCGTCGGACACGTCAGCGACCAGTCATCAAATCATTCCCATGTCATTTTGAATTACAATAATAATTAATTTTAAAATTATAAAAAAAAAATTCTAGCTCTCCTCCCCCGCAACAATCTTCTGCCCAAATCCCTTTCCCTCTCCTCCTCCAATCATCTCTCTCTTCGCTTCCTCTTCCTCCTCTTTCCCTCTCCTCTCCCAACCACCTCTCCAGCGGTAGCACCACCGCTAGATTCGCCAGCCAACCTGTTCAATTCGCATTGCCATGACGACGGTGCCCAATTCAGAATCCATAAATGGAGAAAAATTGAAGCGAGAATTCAAGTCAAACATAGATCTACCCCGCAATTGAAAAACAAAAAGCTGACCTGACCAGCAGAAATCCGCAGAAGAGCTCTCCGAACCCTCGAATCGTCGGCCTCCGACACCCGCATTTGAATCCTCATCAGCTCGCCGACCGTCAATGGCTTCTTCGACTTTCCCTGACTAGAGCTAGACCCGGACCTGGGGGAATTCAATCTGAGAGCTTTCTTCATCTTGTTGGCCGCGGCGGAAGTGAGCGAGAGCTGGAGTGACGGAGATGAGTTGGAGTTGGAGTTGGAGCTGGGGGAGTGAGGCAAATGGTGGTGGTTATGTGGTTCAGTGGCGGCGGCGGCGGTGGAGAGGGTCTTGGTGGAGGAAGTGCAGGTGAGGGCGAGGAATAACTCGTAGGCGCCGGAGCGGAGGTCGGAATCGTTTTTGGGTTGGGTCTTACTGTGGTAGCTGTCATCACTGCCGAAGGAATGGGAAATCGAGGTTGTAGAGTATTTGGATCTGGATTTAGATTTGTCGTCACTGTGAGGAAGGTGAGAACAGGGGAGGATCTGGGTTTGAATTGGGGAAGATGTCCAGTAGGAGGAAGATGGGAGAAAGATGGGCGGTGGGTATAAGGTTGGAATTTTTTTTTAAACTAAATTATTAGATAAATAATGATTTTTTATATTTTATTTTTTTAATCCACATCAGCTTGGTGGGACCATAAATCGCCAACTCAGCATACTCCGTCAGTACAGTCAGATTGTTAAGTAACACCGTTAAAGAGATGGACGGAATTGGCTATTTTTGGTTTTCGAATAATTATGGCTATATTTGTCACAAACGTGAAAGTTATGGTTATACAAGTGTATTTTGCCTAATAAAAAATGAGATATATGAAATAGCTGAGGAACATCGAATATTTTCAACCCCTAAAGGGCAAAAATCTTATTGTCAAAATCCTTGTGTTTTTAAGCCTTCCCAAATGCACAAATTTAGTTAAATGCGGAAAGCCCGTGAATTGTTACAAACTCTTGCCCCCAAATTCTTAATCCAAACAAACTTTAAATGATTGTAGACATATATAATATATTTTAAACTAATCTCTAAATCTACGAGGAATTTTACAATGCTATATAGTATTGGTGCTATATGTTTTTGCCTTTATGGTACATTTTGAAATTGTACATTTAA